AAACCGGATGGAAACCCTGCCAGTTTTTTCCTTGGCAGACTAGACGTGGGAGTCGGAAGGCGAGAGGAAACGGCACGATGATGCAATGTTTAATGAGAACACCGCGTAAGTCAGACCGCCCCCGTTGTGGCTCCTTTTGAATGACAATATCGCCTCGAGTGCTTTCCTTGTGGCTCTCTACCGCCGCTCGTCGACATATCGCCTAATTACATCACACGGTGTAGTGAAAACAATCGAGAACCGCGATAAGTCCTACGGGATCATATCGTTCAGTCACTCCTCGACGTTGGATTCTTGAGTGGGATTCCAAGTTTCCGAGGACACCTAGGCGGAACGCTCCTTTTATTCCCCAAGATTGAGGGCGTCGTGGGGAGCGAACTCCTGATTATCGTTGTTCCGCGAGGCTTCGGGTGATATCGAATCTCTTCCTTATACGGATGCGATCCTGACTTTGGCACGAGATGCTTGATCATCCATACCGGTATATGGACAAACATAGAGGCTCGTACTCCACGACCTGCTCCCAGCCACACACTCAGCGTATTTTCGTCATATATTCAGTCGCCACGTCAAACTGTCCGTCGGAATCTGTTATGAAGCTCGATCCCGTGGCCCGCTCCGGGTCCGTCCAGGAGTTTTCCGAAGGTCGCAATACCTCCCGGGTGCTTTTCGAGAAGCGCAATTACTGCATTCCTTCCGTAGATACTTCCGCCTAATCAACGAATCTAGGAGAGTGTGGTTCCTGCATTGCCACGGAGATCGGTCTGTGATTGACCCCGAAGCCCGCCATTGTGGACAGACGGCCCCGTAATAGCACGGAGATCTTCGACGAAATTTAGAGATATGAAGCATCGATTGTCGCTCTCTTTCCCCCGTCAATGGGCGACTGACTTCTCCGAATTCTCGAGCTCTGTACCATGCCTTCCTCTCCCGCGCCCCGCTCTCATTGAGCAACGGTGAAGACTATACCGACTTCGGAAATCGAGAGCTAATCAATTCCCCTGGGCAGAATGCACCTATCGAAACGTATCCCATGGAGACGACGTCGACGTTACTCCACCTCTTCTGAGCTGAATCGGGCAATACATTACCGGATAGACAAGAAGCTCGTACGATCCATCGACTGTTTGGCAGGAAGATTTACAACAGGTGTGGAGTGAGAGGCACATCCTTTCCGAGAGAAGTGCTCGCATCGGGAATATCTTTATTTCCCGTGCAATCGACGCCGGCGGCCGCGAGCGAGCTCGCGTCAGCCCTATGAGCTCCGCCAGAAACATTGATCCTTGTTTGAACAAATATGCACAGCCCGAGGAAGGGGGGGGGGGGCAAAATCACATTTTTCTCAGCAAACGAAACTGGACAGCTACGACGGGATGAATTGGCGACGGGGCAGTGTTGTGCGCCATCTGATTTTTCCCGGTGGCGGCGAGAGGCGAAGAAAGAGGCGGCGGCGGCGGACGCCGCGGCGTTTTTGAGCGGACTTGAGACTCACGGCGCGCCGCGGTTTCCTCCTACTCGGGGCGAGCTCCATGAGGAAAGTAGATCCCAAGGAGCGAGCTAGGGCACCAAAGAGGGGGTAAGGTTCGGGAATGGCGAAAGTAGGAATCGAAGAGCGAGTACAAGTTAAGTTCATTCATTCCTAAGTCACTTATTCTGCAAGAACTCTCGATTATCGGGTAAGAAAAGACAAGACGGCAGGCTCGTCATTCCTATTTCGTCTCTCGATAAGCGGCGAGGAGTCGACAGAAAACTTATGAATCGTCTCGATTCTCGGAAGAGATAAGGTGACGTCTACGATTCTCATCATCGAGCGAGCGCATCGAGCTCGGCCCAGGTTCTCTTTCTTTGACTTTGATGAACATGTTCTTCTGTATTCCCTCGATTCGCTCCGAAAGTCCCCGAAATCTTCGGATGGGTTCTTGACTATTTACCATGGGGATCATGACGGCGCGCCGTTCCGCCGCAGGACGCCGTGCTCAGAGCTCGGCGGCGGTATCGCCGGCGATCTCGGGGCGCGGCGCACAGCTCTGCGACGGGGTCTATCGGCGAGGTGGTGTCCGAATCCGGCATCCATCTCTTCGGCTCCGCTATAGTTTTCGAGTCACCTCCACGAGTTTTCTGATCTTTGTGAGTTCTTGCTTGTTGGATGCCATAACTCCGCTGCAGGGAAAGCCGAATCCATCGGAATCCGGGCATGTGTACCTGACGCGGGGCTGCGATTGTTTCACCCGACTTTCTTGTGATTCGCAGCCAGGGTCCCCGAGTTGGAGCCGATCGAAGGTGTCAAATGCCTGAGGGAGGAAGTCGAAGCAGGTTCAGGCGGAAGCCGAATCGATATTATGATAGAACTGCGACTATTCTATAAAGAAAGGGAACTTGGTAGTCCTGAACAAATGCAGGAATGATCATTTGCTTCCGAGTACGTGTCTTTCGCAGCTATCCGATTCTAGCGCGAACATGTTTGAGCTTGGAAAAAGAGGGAGCGTAGTGTCGATTCGACTGCATGTGCGCTTGGGCTCAAGATGAAGTAAAGCTCAAGATGAATTCAAGCGCACAATCAACTCGAACTCCCTTAGATTTCTGCGCAGGGCGTCGCGGGGGATTCGACTCCGCGGAGTCTATGCAGAATCACCAATCTCAGCTCAAAACGGGCGATCTCAGGTTCGGTGGGGACCACAATCACATACACGTTGTCAGGCCCCAAATCCAATGAGCTCGAATAATAATCAAGGTCACCATTAACCAAAATCACCCTGCGGTATCCGAGAGATGTCCGTCCGAATTGCCTCTGATAATGTTCTGAATTTTCGCCAACGATAGACCGCAGGGAAATCTTTTCAGTGAGTCCCGTACTTCGAGCTCAGAGAAGCGTGCTTCGAATCCCGCGGCATCGATTTGATTCTGCGCTCAACTCTCATATCCATGCGCTCGAATCCGAAGTGCGCGTGGGCTAACGCTGCAGTGCTGCAGTCGGAGGCAGGTGCGCCCGAATTAACCCAACGCTCCGCTCTAGTCTAATCTGCACTGAAACTTACGCTGCGTCCGAACTGGGTGAGCTCGGACTATTCAACGCTTGCGCTCAAGTTTGGCCTCAAACTGACGCTGCGCTCGGAGGCGGTTGCGCTCAAATCCTGCCTGCGCTCAACTTTACTCTGCACTTGAGTTCACTCTGCCCTCGAAATTCTCGCTGCGTCCGAAGCGCTTGCGCGCTCAGATGAGGTAGACCACGAATGTTTGCGACTCTGGTGCACGGCCAGAGCACCTGTCGCAACCACTGAGTATGTATATCTGCCGCGGACACCGCGGATACGAGGATCGATATGAAACCATGAACGACTGGTGTTCGGGCTCGCTATTCTTCTTTGCTTCGGAGTTTGCGTTGATCCCCCTCCACGGTGACGACAGCAACGACGTCGGCGCCGGCGGCAGCGGCGACGCGACGCTCACAGAAGGGGTGCAGATTTAACGGACCTCTATCGGTTAAACTCTCGCTCGGGCACGGAATCCATCTCTGTGAGCTAGCTGTGTCATTTGGAATATCGGCTCCCACCGTTTTTCGCCGCAATCACGTCGCAACTCCTTCTCAGCCGAAACAAAGTTCCGCCAACTGAAAATGAGCTGATCGAGTGACCGGAGCTCTTCTCAAATTCCCCGGGTTTCGCAACGAAACAGAGGAAGAGCAATTATAGGCCCGGCAAGGAGGAAGCAGAAGGAGTCGGTCTACTAGGAAAGGATTTCGATGGGATCATGCCTGGAAATTCGTGAAGTTTATGTCAACGGATAAGTGAAACGAATCAGTTGCCAGCAATAAAAAAAGTGCGGGAAATAGCGGAGTTCTGCCTAGTGTGTGCGCGAGTTGTCGTCGACTGACAAAAGAAATAATTTCTCTGACAATACGTTCTCTCACGTGGAATCAACTCGTTTGTTAAATAATTGTACCTCTCATCCAACTCTTGGAATACTACGTCAAAAACCGGGACCAACATCTCCAAAAGGTAAGCTTCGTGGGCCACGCGGAGCGATTCTCAACAAGGATATGTCACGGGAATTATCACCCGGAGGAATAATACGTCGGTTTTCGTGGAGCGGACGCTCGAAAAAAATGAATTACTGCGTTATCTCCGCTCCGCGCACGTGTGTTTTCCCGCGCGGATCAGAGAGCTGGGGATGCCGCGCGATATCCGGCCTCAGTCTTGGCTCCCCTCAGTGCTCTCATGCATCGCCCTGCGGCACCATCTAGCGCAATTGGAGCCTAAGCAGTCCCCCTCGTATGAACGAGGTTCCGCGGCATGCAAGCGTGCGCGTTTACCAACTCCCACCTCGTTTTGAAGAATGTGGCGACCGTCAATTTCCCGCTGTGGCTCGTCGAATCGGAGGAGGATTGCCAATCCACCGTTTTCTCCCACAGCGCTCTGTCCGACTTTGTTGCCATAGAAATCCCTGACCAACGCCTGGCCAAGGGTATAATAGAGTCTGTTCTGTATGATTCAGGGAATCGCCCAGGATTTCTATCTGAGTCTCGATGTTCGGAGTCCGATAACTTATGGGGAGTTTCAAGCTTCTTGAGACTCTCTTCCAACGCATTCCTGTCAAGATCCGAGGAAGTCTGTCGACTCTGAACGAACCATAGCTCCCGATCGAGTGGACGATCAAATTTCGGATGCGGTTTGGACACCTGCTCTGAACTTTTTTCTCTGCCTTCCCTCCGCCAGGATTTGACCGCCTCTCCATGAGCTGATGCGGAACTTCGATAAGCGGAATTTCAATGATTACATTCGAGCCCATAGCGTCTCGCTCGCGACAGTTTCCATCGACGCACCGGGTCACGGTGCAGCGAGCGGGCTCCTTCCCACCGAAAGTTTCTTAGTCATCGCCCGCCGCTGCCGTCGTGTGGGATGCGTTATTCCCTAGCAGAACGCTCACGAAGGCAACTCCCTGACACTTGTGTCGGCTTAAGGTCCTCCAATGGGCCGACGACGCTGCTGCCGTCATTCATGGAATAGCTCGCTGAGCTGAGTGACGTTAGGTCGGCCGACTCGTCCGTCGGGCGGGCGGACGGTCGGCTGCCAGCGGAGAAAACGAGTGAGTGCAAGAGCGGCGCGATCTCGCCGCGTGGTTACCGTGTGTGCCGTTGGCCGCCACTCCATTAGCGTAAATAGCGATCATGGGATTAGAATGTTGTCCATGGCTCCTTCGATAAGGGTGAACAATGCACTGCAAGCGGACAAGTTCCCAGAGCTACGGAACAATTCGTCGTCCTTCGGCCACAAGACAAAACCTTGACTAGAGCGAGTGACGAGCCATGCACCATCGAGTTCTGTGGCAGCTGGCTTCTATCCTGCTCTGCTTGTCACCGTGTTGCTCCGAAGCCCTCATCACCGTTGGAGTCTCCGCCGATCCTGCCTACGTCGCCGTAGACTACGGGACGAATACGACCGATATAACGTGCTCGTACCGGGTCATGCCCGAAGTGGTGGAGCATCCGGTCGGATCCTTGGTGACGTTCAACTCCAGGCCGGAGAGCGTGGTGCTGCTACTGCGGAATCATTACCTCGACTCGATCATCCATTTGCAGAATGTTTATTTCCAGGAAAGGATGAATTTGACGTTTCGGCTCCGAAACGTGAGACAAAGCAGCCGCTTTTCGTGTGATATCTCTTCGCCTGAACTCACGCGGCCCGCTCGAGAATTCATGGTGATCTACGTGAAGACCCAAGACCGTTGTGATATGATTCAAGACTTGTTCCGTAACAAGGAGTGTGTGGACGGCGACAGCGTCTGCCGACCGGGATATCATCTGAAAGTGGACCGATTGACGTGCATCCAGGTGTCTAGCCCACGGTATTGCTCTCCGATCGAGGTCTGTCAGCAGTGTACTTGTAAACGAGTGGAAAAGCTTGTGGCTCAGGTACCGTATGCAGAAATCTTCGAGCCCGAAGACCGAGTCACTTCGAATGTCGTGGGCGTCGGGAACCAACTCTTCGGAGTGTCGGAAAGTCCGGAAACCTGTTTTTTGTGTGCCAACAGCGTCCCGCCTTCGAAATTCGTATCGGCTCTGATAGTGACGTTCCTCGTGCTGTTGAGTGGAGCTTTGACAGTGATCGGGACTGCTGTTTTCTACGACTGGTGCAGACGACGTCGTGATCTTCAAGAACTCGAACGCGAACACACAGAAACGAATGCGGACGCTGTCGAGGTGGAAGCCCTCAGACGGGTGAGCGAAGACCGACCTCCGTCGTATGTGGAAACGCGTAAAAGCGACCTCCATCTAGCTGGAATCCCACCCCCTCTATACGAGGATTCATACAATGGCGAAATATCCCGGAACCTCACAGTCAGCTCGCCGCGGCTCACAAACATAAGAGGGAGTGTTCCAACTCTGGAGCCCATACACGAACGGAGACTGTCTTTATAGCCATATAGATCTATTTATTCAGAAGATTGGATGCAGAAACTCCAGGACCGCCACGCGGAACCTGTTCCATGTATATAAGATGTGGATAGAAATATTAGGAAATCGCTCCCACTTATTGTTGTGATGAATGGTCGTCGAAGAGCGCTGCTGTTTCGTTTCTGTAAGATCCGAAAATAACCCGCTTCGTGTACTCATGTAAAATAAAGAACATCATTACACTTAATTCCGTATCTGAGTTTCGCAATAATTTCGGAAACTTCTACCCGACGATCTCCCCTAAGTTTCCGCTCAAAAACAGCTCGGTACGGATAGATTTCTTCTGGGATTGTAATATTGCTCCATCAGATCCTGGAGCGACTTTGCCATTGAGTGATGGTTACGCATATGGAAAATCCCGCTCTTGAGTTCGGAGCGTCAAAGTCCGAACTCTACAGTCCGCCCGTGAGCCGCTGCATGCTTTTGTGTGAGGATGAATTTCCATTGGAAATGCAGCCGCACACCTTGATCGGGGCTTTGTGGATCTCCAGGTTTTTTTTTCGTGATTCCACACCGAACTCTCCATGTTTGCCAAATATAGCTCTTGGAACGCTTATTTTTTATCAGCATCGCGGATTTCATGACTTGCGAGCCACCAAGTCCGCTAATATTTCTCGGGCAGCCTGAATACGAGCTGTGGCGTGTGAGAGGGTGGAGAAGTCTCTTTATTTCTGGGGCAGACTTCACGTACTGTAGCTAGAGTGCCTAGAGAGTTTGTTCACTTGCGCTATCTGGCTCTGAGTAAGTATTCGAATTCGGTCAACGAAACTCGTATCTATGTGATTCATGCGGGGCTCGAGGGAATCACTTGGCCGTAAATTGCTCGAGAGAGTCGCGCGTGAAATTGATATCCGTGGAGTAGAGAAAGCTTGGGCGTTCGAATATCGCTTCGGAGAAACGAGATCATCCTTGGCTCGGGGACATTCTATCCGAGAAGTTCCAGGGATTCCTCGCTCTCCTTGTCTCCCTCTGTCTGGAATTTCCCGCGGACTGTCTGCCTCTCTGGGAATCTCGGACTACCGTCGACGTTCCGAATCATGATCAAACAGGGTTGGAACCGATCGATGCTAGAAAGCGCTCCATCACGAACAGTTGCGGTGCCACGCCGGTGGGACAATCCACCGGCTGTAGCTCCTTGATTTTCCAAAGAAGGAACAGTGTACCAACTTCCCCGATCTATAGGTGCTGAGTGCTGAGCAATGTCGAGGGCAAACGTGAAGTTCCAATCAATTTCTCGTCGTCGCTCGGACGCTCCGTCGAATGGAGGGCCCAAGCCTCAGGAGGGAGACTTGAAATCCATACTATATCTCGCTTTTTCTATTCGATATACTTCCTTATGAACATCCGAGATGGGCTCGCGGGGCGGGAAATAAGGGTGTACGTTACAAAGGACGCTATACCCTCTCGGGGTAGGAAGAAAGATCGATGATATTCTGATGATTTCCCTTCGACCGAAATTTCACCGGAACTATACGGATTTCTCAAAACAACATGCCGCAGCTGTTCCGGTCCGACCGATCCGACTCGATGGTCGCCTCAGAACGTCGAAATGATCGTTTCAATAGCATGATGGTCCCGTTTTCGTCCTTTCGAGATCACTGACCTCTTCGGCTTCTATCAGTCAAGAATGGAGCTAATTGTCTCTATGTATTGAATCGGGTCCTGGAATATATTTTGCAGGATATGTGCATGGCGTCACGCACATTGAGCGAGAGATCCGCCGCCGTCCCGTCATCCGGCGTAATGTTTGTTTCCGTAGAAGGTCTGCGGTTGCACGTGATCGCCCCCTCTGACCCTTCCCGAAGCGAAGCGGTCTTCGACTTCAATCTGCGTCAACACGTGGTTGGGATCAGTCTCCTGTGAGGGACCGCTGGACGAAGGCACTAAGAGCGGTATCTTAGAGTTGACCACTAAAATTTCTCATTGAATCTTCGCACACAAAGGCTCCCGTCCGTGGGTGTCAGGGTGGCTTCCGACCTTACCGGAAATAAGCTTCATTTCCTGAAAACTACTCTTCAGTAAAGACGTCTCGATCGCACGATTCGGAAACCGATTCCCCCCGAACGTCACGGGCCACGATGATGGTTCGATTCTGATCCAGAAGGACTGATGATTCCGTATTCGTGCGAGACACCGCCTCGAGCGCGTGTTTTCCACCTCAAAAAAAAGAATTGCTCCCGGATCGCATCCGCGGTGCTTCCAAAAATCGATGGGGTCCGCCGCTCCGGCGTCCGATCAAGGCAGACAGACCGGACACAGAAAAATGTTGCGAGTCCCTCAGAGAAGTATTAAAGAATCCCTCGAAGGCTTCCGATGAATGTGACAGAATCTTTTTTCCGGGACCTCCTCAAGGTGACACATTTCACTCGGCGGCTCTCTCAAGCTCGGTATGCAATCGCCACATCGCGCACGAAAAATCGAATATCGTCCGATGACGGGACGGACGTACGAGAAGAATGTGTCCACCGTGAATCGTGGCGACCCTGATTCCCCTGGAGCTGCACACGTGATGTCGTTAGTGATAAGTTCCAGCGTGGTTCAACCAGGTCCGGGTGTGAGGGCGAACGTCCGCTTCTCCCCGTTGCGGCACCTCTCCTCTGTCAGTGACTCTTCCGCAACATGCTACTGATTTAGAAGACACCAGAAATATCTCACATTGCGCTGCTAGGGCATCCGCCGCTCCACTGTAAGTTCCGCATTGAGCCGAATTCCCGGAAATTGTCGCTGAGAACGGAAATTGGACGGAAAGAAAATCGAGACCTGACTTATCAGATGGTCCGAATCAGGCAAAAGGCTCCCCAGAGGATTGTAGGACAACCCATCCCCAGAAAGAAGATAGCTCCAATACCATAGAGCCGTCAGCGTTGAAGTGCGCTGAAAACCGGATAGGTATTAACCTTTGGGTGAGTTCGGTCACGTTCTCTCCGCCTCGATGAATCACTCCTCATGACAGGAATAGTAAAATGTGAGCCGCGTCGGCACTTATTCCATTCAGCTTCAAGGTACGAGGCAGAATCGTTCGGGCCGAGAATTTCACGGGAATCACTTTCCGACTCTTTGAGCCATATGCGCGGTCGGATCGCATTACGCTCATCGCTGATCCGCTCGACTCAGGTCACGGAACTCAGGTTCCGTCGCCGTCCGTCGGAAACGATGAGCTCTTTTAATTTCCAATGAGCGGCGCACGATCGCATGATATTGCTCTTCAAGAGAGCTCTCAACCCGGCAAATGATCATGCAATTCAGGCTTAATAGCTCGATTCCGATTCCCGATGCAACCTCGAAGTCCTCGCTAATTGGGAGTTTCGCCGCACGAGGTTGCAGATCAAATCTCCTGAGAGCGATCCAGAGGAAGCTCCTGAAAATCTATGAGACGGCCCAGTCTCGTCCAATCCTTCGTGATCCGGGGTATTCTGAGTCCGCCTAAGGTTGACTCCAGACGTGTTCCTGACCCCCCTCAATTTAGATTTCTTACGATTATCATCGACGACGACCTCACCGGGCGCAACGCTCGGAGATACATCGAGTCACGCCAAGGCTGCGATGAGCCCCGTTACTCGGATAGAGGGCGACCTCTAGAGGGCTATCCGGCCTTCCCTTGAATCTCCCCCCCCCCAAAAGGGCCAGCCGAGAGGAATAGAGTACGATCAGGAGTTTCCGTACAGAATCCGTTGCCTCGGAGTACGCCGTAAAACTCCGATTCGTCCGACGAGGGCGAGCAAATCAATTATTCTAGTGTGTCGTTCCGGAGATTCCTTTCTTCACGACGGAAAATGAAAGCAGTATTCTCGCGTCCGACGTGCGTCACGGGATCGCGTGACTGCGGATGCTCCCAACGAAACCAGTCGTACCCGGATTCGAATGTCCCACGCTCGTTTTCCATAGTACTTCTCATACTCATCGATGATCAGGAGAAGAAACGTCATTTATTAATACACTCTCTCTCGCACGTTTTTCGGCTGCTTAGGTAACAGTACATTGAAAGTAAAAGGAGGTGAAGGAGAGGGGGAAGTGGGAGCGGATAGTTGTAGCAATAACAGCGGTAACGGCGCTTTACCTAATAAGGGGTTTTCCAGCCGGGGGCTGGAGACTAGATCGTAGCGACTTATCTTCGAAATGAGGTCTGGGCCCGCTCGATCGGGGAATCTTTGACCTTGGTCCTCGCTTAATGCTCTCGGCTTCTCAGAGATTGGACGGACGCTCGTATGCACGGAAAAACGATCAGATACATGTGCATTGCGGCGACCGACCGAGCACAAAAATCGGGCAAGACCTAGAGCGCGGTGCGCACAGTGAAGCGTCCCTTCCGCTCGACGGCCCTTCCGGCACTGTCGTCGTCGGTTTTCAACGAGGCGTGTCCCGATTCGGAGTCCGAATCCGAGTAGTCTTCCGTCGGTATCGGCGGCAGGATCATCACGTCGTGCGGGTTATGGTATTCGACGGCCGGTGTGCTCTGGCCCGATCGGTATCCCGAAGACACGGTTCGAAGAGGAGGGGGCGGAGGCGACTGATGCCGGTGGGCGCCTCGGTGAGCTCTCAAGGAGTCGGATCCGAGCTGTAAGGTAAGCATAGGATCCATTCATTAGAACCATCGATGGGCTCAGAGCCCCGGGAAATGAATGACCTCAAGGCCGTTCAAAGGATGAAGTCAATTTAAGTCACGATCGGCCCTAATGGAGGCTCTGGCGAGTGAGTAGCCGTGGACGCGAAGTCCAGGCGTTCGCATCAATCATGTGCTCCGTACTAGATAGCGAACTTTAATAAGAGACTAGCAAAAAGAAAACAGAGCGGCAGTTTGGCCGCACCGAATCTCTGAAGACATCGCAGACGCGGGAGAAACAAATGGCCCCGCAAACGAGTTTGCAGAGCCTAGTAAATAAGGAACGAGGCTTCGGGGCGCTCTCTGAGCGATTGCTGCAGAGTTTAAATCCCAAAGAGCTATGCGGTTCAAAGCTCTTAGGGTACCGGAAAGTTTTTGAATTCGCCCGGAGTCCGCCTCGACTGTCACAGGACGGTCCAACTCGAATGACTCGACTCGATTCGTCCAGAAATGGGCTTAGAGAAAGTATTCATGAGACGTCGCGATTCCTCGGTCACCGTATCCCGCCGGGTCAATTTTCTCAGAATGCTTGATAGCATTCGCTTAGCCTCGGTTTCGGATTTAATCCTTTGGAAGTTCGCCGGAAACTCTCAGCGTGACCCAAATCGTGGGTTCCTCAATCGTCGTAAGATCTCGCTCCCCTGCGATACCCCAATATTTCGAGGGGTATCGAACGCCGAAGCAGACCGCTCCGGATCGTCTAATGGATTTCCGGGATGTTTCCACCCTTCGAGGGGAACATCCACCTCCCTGACTGCACAAGTGCAGCCCTACTGCTTGCATCAAACGGAATACATAAATAAATAAATCCATAAGTCCGTGAGTAGCCGTCGCACGAGACTCGGAATCACCGTCCTAGGAAGCAGGAGTAATGGACGTCGATGTGGACGGCAACAACGATTCGGTGTCCCGAACGGAACACAGCTCCTCTCGGAGCTCGGAACAAGCTGGCATCCGTCATGGACTCGGAGCTCATGACATATGAATCCGTCGGTCCAAGGTTATTCCTTGGAAGAATCGTGTGTTTTGTTCTTCGCGAGTGGGCCCCCGGGACAGTTACTCTCGAAACGGGAAAGCGGGGAAAAAAGGAACAGATAAGAACGCTACATCGAGATTCCGAGTACTCAGTGAGCCACCGAGCGCTGCTGATGGTCGAGGTTCCGTACGAAAACTGCAAAACCATCCTCTGCAAATGGGAATCGATGGGGACGACCTAGTCTTCTCGAGCAAGATCATAAGTGAAGTAAAAGGAGCGAGATTGGGAGGAATTATGAGGCTGGTATCCAAATTCGGGACAGACTTACGTTGTGCAAGGGAACATCTGTGAAGTTTGCGTCGTTTATGATACAGGTCCGGAGCTCTGGCGGCGGTGCTGGAAGATTTTGGTGATCTTCTCCGTCTTGAAAGGCTCCATTAACGAAAGAATTCCCGCCAGTCTGATTCGACGGCGCATTCACGCTGTTCGGGCTCCTGTAAAAAGTGCTGATACGCACGAGGGCTCTGTTTTAGTTCGTTTCTTTCTAGATTCTCATCGTATCCATAGGAACCAACTTCTGTATCCAGACACAAAGCAGCGGAGAATTCCGATCGCTGGAGAATAATGGCAGCGAGGAACCCTATCCGAGCATTATAATGGACATTCCTCTTCGGGACGGGGGCTGTCCACGGCAATTTCTCTGCGTCTAATTTCCGGATCTGACTTACCTATCTCGTCTAATGGTGGGGAAGCCGTAGAAGTCGTCACCATTCGCGGCGTACTGGTGTTCCCTGAAACAAGCATTTCTCCTGAGAATCCACGTCTTGACGTGACCAACACACTGTGTTACAAAGTACATCCTAATCGTACACTCTTCTCGTCCGTAATTCATTTAGAAGAAGGAGATAATGCTGAATCAGTGGAGTAAACGTGAGAGAAACTTGCTCCTGTAGTGTTTACCAAGCAAGCGGTGAGGACTCGAGATAGCGAATGTCATTGGGAGATTATCAGATGCGGTACGAAGCAGGAAAATTTCTCATTCCCCCAGCTAGCAGGACTCGCGACCCCCTAATCACTCATGACTCGGCTTCTCTAAAGGAGGAAGGATGAAGTCCTTAAGGGAAGGCGAAAAGAAACACGCAGCTACGTACTTGGTGTTGAAGGTCTTGATGAAGAACTCGTGATGTGCTTCTCTACGGGATCCTCGTACACTGCGGAGAGGAAAATTGTTTGGAATTTCAATGAAACCACTCAATCGGGAGATCTCCCGGGGGTACCCGGCATCGTTTCTGTTTGAGGGTCGATTTTTTCCCCCGCGGCAGGAATCGAGAATCGAAATTTGAAGAGTTCAAGTTAGGATGGGGCTCCCATTCAGCAAGCTCGAAAAAACAGCTCAGTCATCATCCCGTGAGACGGGATCTCCCGGGTCGGGAAACCTCGACAGACTGACCTCAACAGAAAAACCCTCTAGCATAAAAGATTCGAATCCGAATTTCCGAATTCGAGAGAGGAATTCTCTAGTCTCCAGCCCTCAATCCTTTCGAGGTTCCTGCCTCGGACGAATTGTATTGTGGAAGACTTCCCCGTCTCCTGTTGATACCTCATGCTGGTGCTCGCATGGGAAAAATTCACGTGTTGATGAACAGTTCAGCCGAGTTCCCCGGTGCGACCCAGAGACCAGCACAACAGGTCACACGCGCGGCCTTTCAGGATCATCGAGCGAACCCGACGCCGGAAAGAAGCTCCAAGACTCTGTAACAGTAGCTTTCGCGGCGATTTGAAGGCTGCCCAGAAGACGTTTTGATGGATCATCCTGTGTGTGTTCTTGGAGTTCAAAGAGATGACGGATGAATCGCATCGACTTCACGGCGAACTCAAACGGAAAGTCGGGTGAAAGTCAGCAACGCGGAACTCCGCGTCGGGCAACCAGGTTACCGCGGGGAGCGTCATCGAAAGCTTCACGGACGTGGAAAAATCCAGGTCGATGCAGAGTGCAGCAGTACCACGGAGCTATATACAACTGGGAATGATGGCTCCTGGATTGAGCTCTGGCAGCTGCTCCCGAGTCGGCGTTCCGAAATTCGCGTAGAATATCGGAATACTTCCTGCCTACCGAAGAAAAAATCGGGACGGCTCCAGGTGCTGTGCCTCCAGGCTGCCGCGCGGTGAACGGCGGATTCTTCCCCTTTCACATTCACGCTGTCACTCGTCCCTCCGCTGCCTCTCGGAGCTCTGTCATGTCATGAGTCATAATCCCATGCTACTTCCATCAATACTCCTTGTGGTCCTCGTCGTGATTGGGACAAACCCGCCAGCACGCTCAGGAGAAGGGCTCTGCGTGGCAGGAGAGGGAGAACTTTCGCGCATCATGTCCCCTAGTATTTCCGCGCTTCATGTTCCTGTATGACATGTGAGCTCCACGGAATTGAGTTTCCTAACATGAGATAGTCCCCTATCTAGCCCGCTCTTTTGTCGGTGCACCGACCGAATCTCGGACAGTCGATATATTTCTTCCCTTTTATATTACACGATTGTGATTATTAATACTCACGCGAGCCTCCACTTAGTACAAAGAAACACCGCTAGCAGGGCGAATACGATGACAGCTACAGCTAGGGAGACGCTCAGAATCTGCAACTGGAACAGTTTCGCATCCAAGAAGCGAACGTGCGCTGCATCCGCGAGAAATTCTTTCCCGGGTCGCCAGTCTTCATAGCCGCAGGTTCTGCAACATTGGAAAGAGAATTTTGAGTTCTCTCTGCGGCTCCTCCGGAATTTGTTTCTCCAAAGCTGTCCGTACGTGCGACCGATAAACTGAGAGAAACGCGCTTCCGGCCACGGAGAGCCTGATCGAAAGCCAAACGGAACGCTCCATCAGCTCACTGACAGAGTGAACAATTTTTCTTCGTTTAGGCCTTCGCATCGTTCCGTTACCTTAGCATGTTGCCTCCGCGGATGAGCTCGCCACTAGTTGAGTTGAGCCCCAGTGAGAAGAGCACGTATTGAGTTTCAACGACGCGAACTTCTTTGGGCAGCAGCAAACATGGCGGCTTAGGGTCTTCTGATGAGCTAGGAAAACTCTTCGTCAAGGTTTCCGTCAGCCTTTTCCTGTTCGCCATTGCAGACTCTATCTCCCTGGAATATGAAATTGCTCAGCTCACTTGGTTGATTGGCGGATCGGATGAATTTCATTTTCGGAAGAGGGACGATACAGTTCGAATATTGAGTGTGGCCGGAGCGGGGCGAATCTTTCTCCATATCCAGAATTGATGTGGTGCCAGAACGGATCCGAAACACCTAATTTTCCTATCGAATCGATTGACGAGACCCCCGCTCCAGGACGAGAGTTCGGTGACATCTCGAGGGCGTTGAATCAGAAGTTCTCGCGAGAGATTTAGTCATCACTGTTCTCTAAGAACCCTTTCGCGCGAGCCTCGACTCTTTCGCTGTCTCAGCAACAACCTCCTCAGGTGAATTCTCTCCCGCTGATTCGGCTGAGCAACGTGGCAAGACATTCATGCGCACAAAATAAGCGGCTAGCACCTATCGCGACCGGGAAGTTTGGACGCTCGCAAGGAATATTTGATGTGAGAATGCACATTATTCCCACATGACCTCTGCGGCGAGCCAGCTGGGGGAAATCAACGAATGTTCGATGCTCTGGGAGTTAATTGTAATCATAATAATTATGATAATAATTGTAATCATAATAATTATTCGAAGTCTTTGTGAGGATCTCCTCTGCGACGGAGAGGCTCAGAGGGAGATGCGGTGTAGGTAAATTTGTGAAAACGACTCGTGGCTGCTGCGTTGTTGGCCTGCTTACTGAAATGAGTAGGCGCTCTGCAGCTCGTCTTCCTCGACGGAAACTCTCGATATTCTCCCAGAGTGCCCTCCAGGATTGAAGGGCTCATTCGCTGAAAAACGGCTTCAGAGCCCCTGGAGGAATAAACATTCCGGAAAATGGCTGAGGACGCCCAGAGGAATGATCTGCAGCCGCTGCTCAGTCTGTAGGCTGAGCTCTGCCTGAGCGCGTGATCCGAACGATTGTTGCCCGATAAATGTCTTCGAGTCCTGACTCATTCCTTCGATTTCGCACCCGATTCGATCGTGCGTCGGAAGCTTCTCCTCCGATTCCTCACGTGGTTCTTCTCCGTTTCCTTGACTTCCGTCTTGCAGGAATTCTCGGCTCTATTCCGAAGCGCGCCCCTCGCGCAGAAGAATCGTACCGGAGGAACGGTGCTCATTAGCCTCGGAGCCCCACGCCGCGATTGTATATACGCGAATATCGCTGACACTCCGAGCGATTGTCAGGCGACCCCGGAATAAAGGTGGACGCCCACGGATATTGAGGTCAAAACGGAACTCGCGCACTAGCTTGTGATCATGTGATCCAAACAGATGGGCGCGTGTTCCGCCGACTCGATCCCCATCATCTGGATTCGTCCGTTATTTGTTGTGTATGGGTTCGGATCGAATAAGCATTCCCGGGATGCTCCGATTTAGGTCCCGAAAACGACGGCTCGGTTATCGAAAAATCTCCGATCGCTAGTCTTGGGGGGAGAGGTCCCCAAGGGCATATGCTCGGGGCGAACGAGCGGCCCCCCTGCGTCTCCTGCTGGTGCTGGCGGTCAAAACCGAGCCCCGGTCGAGCTTCCAGGTGAGCGTACGAAGCTTCCCCATCATCTTCCGTATCATCCAAGGTGCGAGCAAATCGAATTTCACAGGATCGAGAGAACGCATCGGAATTCAGGGCTTCTTGCTGCTCTCGATCCACACAGAATACTGGACTGGTCTTATCCGACTTATTGTCCGAGAGGCCCCAGAGCTTCATATTTTTGCTCCCCATGTTGTTCGTCGAAGAGCCCACTCGAATCTGAAGACCGTCATTTCGAACAGCTCTCTCCGGGGATTCAACCCTCACGGATTGCGGGGAGTCTTCGTCTCCAAGAGAGAGATTGAGAAGTCTAATTGAACGACTGGAGTATCGAATGATAATAATGAGAGCATCAACCATGAATCAGCTCTCTTCTGCACCGCTATATATCAGCGTCAGAGACGGCGTTAATATTTATGGAAGCGAACTTAATCGCTCTCTCGTTCGGCTTCTCGAGCAGCTCTTGTCAATATTGCCGTGCAGGCCGAGAATAATTAGATGGCCCGCATCAATGACTCTACCTCCAAAGCCGAGACAAGATCCAGGGCCTTCACCGCGAGGGCTCTGAATACATTTCCCGATGATTTTCAGGGAAACGAGGTCTGTCTCGAGGCCAAGAGCGTCGATTGTTTCCGATGGTTGCTCTTAATTCCTGCACGGCTGTTCCGCTAAAATATTCATGCCGTGAATTCCAGCGGCGGAATAACCGGCGGTGGGCCATCCGGAACACCCATTCCTCGTCTGTATAGAGCAAGTCGGCGGGAATTCTCAGCAGGGTGGCTCGAAAAACCGGTGCCGGCCAATCATCCTTGAATATTCGATCAGATCACCTGAATTTCCCACCAGAATTCGGTATCCCGTCAGCCGATGGAGTGTCTACCACCGATTGACACGACATGGACACCTCCCGACGGGCTCTTGAATAGCAATCATTAAGCGATCCTGGGTTCGCTCCGATTAAGAGCACTCGTTTTGGCAAGTCTCTCCTCAAAAGTGCTCTTGTCAAGGCGGAAGAAAGATTGTAGATCAGGTGCAGACAAGGGAGTCGAGGGCGCGACGGCATGCGACACTCCGCAGTCGAGAGTAATCTATCGGAGGTCAAGTACACTATACTTATTTCGGAGTTCTCCCGCGAAATTACGAAAGGCTGATGCCATGGTCGAAGCCTGGATCGAATTGCTATATTGGACATTGTCATCATGCCCCATGTCAAACGAGGGGTTCACGCGGAGGCGGTACTTAGATGGAATCGCTCGTTCTTCTCGCGTAGTTAGGTGACTCGACTTGCGTGCCGCGGCATGATGAGATGCAATCAGAATCCTGAGAACTGTGAGGGACGGGTTCGGGAAACTTCGACGATCCATGTGCGCTGTGATCTGGCGATCTCAAGACGATCTCTATGATCGGAGATCGTGAAGAAGAACAATGGCGGATCGAATCAGAGACGATGGTGTTTTACAGGATCCCTAATTTCGAAGAACTTTACAGGATTCCTAATCTTTGGGTGTATAGCTCCAAACCTGCATAGCCAGGGACCCCCCACCCCCAGAGAAATCTAGCAGGTTTAACGACAAAGTTTAATTGGAATCGAAGCGATCCGAGATTAAGGAGACTCACCTCGTGATATTCAAAGCGTCATCGAGCGAAGCAAGTTCCTGTCCATGAACGAAATCCAACGACACTCGTGTGATCTGGAAAGGCAATTCCAAGAAGCTGTAGAATTATTTGATGCTGATAATAGTACGCAGGGCCGGGCGAGGAAATCGGGCAGTCCAACATTCATGACTGCGATCCACAAACTGCTCCCGATAGTCCGAGAACATGAATCATATCGATGCAGGACAAGCTCGAGATCAGAGAGAAGGAAAAAGCTCCCCGCGAGGGGAACGACCTCATCAAGGTCCGAAAAACACAAACGGAATGAAAGAAGCGTCAGCGAGTCGTGGAATAGCTTCTTCAGAGCTTGTGTCCTATTCTTGAAGGCTGATCGTTAAGCTCCCTCGCGTCGGTTTCAGGTTTCAACGGAGAGCAACATCAAAGGAATAGTTTTTCTCGACGGTACTTCCTCTCAGGTTGTAATGACTTTTTTCGAAGGTCTCGAATGAGTTCGACGCAAAGTTCATCAATCCGTTCCGTCGGTCGCTGACGTGACGATTGATTAGTCTACCTCTATTCGGAGGGCGAGAGATAGCAATAGATCGAACGAAACAACTCCTCTTTTTTTTCTTTCATTCGCCATGGAAATAAGAGAACACCGCGAATCTTACCACTAAGCTAAATCCCTTCTCCGGATTGCGCGGATCGTCCGTTGCTGACATCGGTTCTTCTTCCTCGGCCGGCTTCCGTTCGACTAGCGAATCGTTGGCAACGCTATCAGTCATGATTCCGGAGTTTGTCGCCGACGATTCCATCGAAACTGTCGTCGCTTCGGTTGAAAGGGGTGCTTTCGTCGTGGTCGTTGTCGATTTCGTGGTTGTCGTCGACGGCGGTGACGATGATAGCGATGTCACCTCGGCTGGCGACGGTTCAGCGACGGGTGTCGTCTTCGATTCGGTAGCAGGCGTCGTCGTCGTCGTCGATGACATCACGGTCGAAGCCGCCGTCGGAATCGTTGACTCGAGACCGGAGATTGCAGCGGTTGAGGGCGGAGACTCTGTGGATGCCGGCTCTTGTTGCTCCCGCTGCCCGGTGTTAGGCTCCGGTGTGTTTGTCGGCGTCGTTGTGGTTTCACGCTGAGAAGGATCAGAAAAGATGAGTGTTGCCGAAGCCTGCGACACTATCCGCTTGTCTGAGGAACCGAACACAAGAGAGGGTGGGTGGCTCGCTCCTCCCGGGGGAATATATGAGAACAATTGATGATTCTCGCGATCTACTTTTCTCTCTCCTCTAATCCTCATGTCTCTCGGATCTGTTTGCTGCTGACAGGAAGGAATGTATTACCTCTTCTTTGAGATCAGAATCCTCGGGAGTTGCAGTCGGAGCTGTTCCTCCTGAATCTCGTACAACTCTCCGCCTGGATTTTGGGCTGGCTCGTGTTAAAGGCGTCGATGGCGTCGTCGGAGGCACATCCTCACCATCGTCGACTGGATTTTCACTGCAATTCATTCTCAAGAAAAACTCCTGCTTCTCGGGGGGTTCCTTGTCGTTCCATTGCAGGAGTGTTCCTCGCGTTCGGTTCGATTTCGTGACTGCTTTGATATAGGCCTGTTTTTCGAGGATTTCGCATTGGAACCCTGGCAGTAGAATATTGTACAAAATTTCCTCGGGCATGAGATACACCCGAAAAGAGCGATTTTCCTCGAAGTACAGGGCGGTCACATCTGACGCTGGAAGAATGAGTCATGAATGAGTAGGGTTGAGGTCCAACTGTCTTTTGGCTGCATAGCGATGTTGAGCCTGGTCCGGGGAACCCTATGTGAAATATGTTGTGCAAAACTCACGCGACGAGTTCGTGCTCCAAGCGGTCGTTGTTGAAGTTGTTGAGAGCAGCACGACGCTGAGAGCAGCAAGCAGAGGCCTGATGGGCGCAGCCTGAGAAGGTCTTTGAGTCCGCATCGTTGTTGAGCTTTGTTCCCAGAGAACCATCAGCGATTGATTCGCGAATACTTCATCATGCTCGCTCCTCCTGAATCTCTCCGCCTGCGATGGAAATATTGTGTTGCCTCGAGATAATTCAGTCATTGAAGGTTTCAACGTTCACTCAGCGCGCTTCGAGTGAGCCGAAGGATTTGCCTGTTGAAATTGTGAGCCTGGACAGCTTTTGCGGATTTTTATCAAAAATTCTCGAATGGATCGTGAGGACAATACTCGATTCAGAGAATCCACTTCAATACAGGGTGAAGGATATTTTTCGTTTTCGCTTCCCCTAGGATTCCGAACAGTATTTCCGAAACCCTGGGGATTTCCCGCGCGGGGTCGGATCAGTCGCTTGCCCAGGGAAGGCAAGGGGTGGCGGAGGAAAAGAGCCAACCAGAAAGAAGACTCTTCCGGTTCTATTCCGGACGAGAGTCCTGTCGGAAAGAATGAAAGCAGACCAGACGGAAGCTCCAAGGGAGACACTCCATGATGTCCCAGACCAGCAGGCAAGAACGTAGGCTTCCGTGCTTTGTGAGGCTTGAACTCTGCCCAGTAGCAACGCGGTCACAGTCCCAGAGCGGGAATCATTCCCAATTTCCTGCGAGTTCTTCGCGAGGAATGCCCGCTGCCTCATAACTCGGGCCAATGTTCTCGCGAGAGCTTTCTAGGATGGTTGTTCAGGTGGGTCAGAATCTCCCGCCCCCGTACAGCTCGACAGACTGACTGACTGAGTGGCGGACCAACTCACTCACTCTCACTGCAAAAAGTCGCGGGATCGGAAGTGAACTTGTTTGCAAGCTCCACTTGAAACTGCTCCAGCACTGCACGTCTGCTGTGCCGTCGACGGCTGCTCGCTCGTTCGTCAGCTCAGCAGGGTGGAAAGTGTCGCTTACACAACACGGCGGAAAAAACGTGAAACGTCAACACTGACATATCTGGGGAGCAACATGCTCCGTTCGAATGACTGCCAGCTGAATGATTAATCGTCGTGGAAAGGTTTGCTTGCTCCCATAGGATGCTGCCTCGTTGGGGAGGAGAAAGTTTCCCTCGAGAGGAGGTGCAGCTTGTTGAAGCATCGCATGAGCTTTTTCCGTTCCGTTTTTCATGCAGCCCGGAGAAATAGCCCTCCCTACTCACTTGAAGCGAACGCTCGTCGACCTCGGAGAGAGTCATTCTACTTCGACGAGTCACCTATGCTGAATCCCGGTCAGAGAGAATTCTTACGGCAATGCGCGTGGATCGATCAGCTTTGCTGATCCGATCGAATATCTGAGGCGAGAGAGCGCTTCTGTCAATGAAGGGAAAGCGCGCTTCAGAAGTCAGAGCCCGGGGAAAGATTGCGTACTCGATACGCGAACCCGCTCGTGACCCGAGTTTCCGACCTCAGAACGTAGTTGGGGCATTCTTTGCGACATCAGTCAGAGCGAACTTTGATTTTTCAGAACACTGCAGTGCTCAAGGCCGAGCACTGCTGGTGCTGGTTTTTAGCGCTTTTCTGTTTTCGCTGCATCCTGAGGTCTCCCAGCCTCCCATAGAGAAGTTTCGATTCCCGTTTTTCCCGGGGAAAAGCCGAGGAGAAGAACTCCTCCCGGCAAAGGGACAGTGGGATAATTGAATTCTCGTGAACGCCCCCGATCCTCATTCCCCGGCTCCGGAAGAACGGGGAAAAGAGGAAAGCGCGGTCAGAGGGAGCGTGGTACCGTCGGGCTAGGAAAAACCTTCTTCGGGGTATCGCGGCAACTCTGAGTTCATTAGGGGCTTCCGAGAATGACTCCAAGCCTTTCCCCGGAAGAACGTCTCCGAGGTCAGCTTGAAAACGTCGCTGGCAAGGAAAGCTGATAGGATCGAACGGCATCGTATGCGGATAATGTTTGCCCCACTCGCTCAACAAGGTACCAGGTATCGACTAGGCACTTGCAGGATTTCATTCGAGGAGCAGCGCGACGCGTCCTTGCCGCAATAAACGAGCCGGGCAACAATTTCCCGTCCCTCGTTGCTCGAGGACCGTCGACAAACAAATCATACCGACCGAATGGGGAAAGAAGTGCAAAAGAGAATCAAGGGAGTCGATTGGAGACCTCATTCTGCCTACTCGTCCCCATCGGAACGACGTACAACACGCACTCGACGGCCGAGGAGCCTTCGTTCTTGAATGTTCCATCTTCGAGAGAATCGGGAGTGCAATTTCCGCCGTGTCCGGGAGTCGACAGGAAGCTTTTCGCAACGAAAATATCTCGACAGAAACAGTAGTCCGTCGATGTCCAGCATGGATATTGGTTCCTTGACATCATTCCTCTCTTGTGACCTGAAGAGTATTAGAAGGCGTGTTTCGAAATGTCACGCCTCGGGATCGCATGCCAACCACCCAATAAACGGTCGCTGGGGTCTCCGTAAATCTCCTCGATTTTCCCATTCTCTGCTCCCCCTTCTCTCCAAGCCTCGAATTCGGATCGGAAAGATATTCCACTGGATATTTGCAACACGTTCGCGAGCAAATCTTGCGTTTGTAACGAGCAAGCGTTGGGACAGGCAAGCCCAGCCGTGGGCCTGTCTGCAAGGCCCCGTGCCGTAACTCCGCCATTTGTTCGCATCGGTAACAGCCCCGAGCTCGTTTTGACCGTGTCGCGATAGGGCACGTGTCGAATCTCCATCGGGGACTTGTTGCACATGACGCGAAAGAATAACACGACAGGAAGTCGTCCGATATATTCGACTGCAGAGCTGTCAAATGTATTCAGCCCTTGGAGTCCCGTTCCGACTCCGTTCGGTGGTGCGTGAGTGACGTTTAGATCTCGCGGAGTCCATCGATTCCATCAAACTTGTTGCTTCGTCCATCGAGGACCTCTGCCGTTAGGGGAAGGAATCACCACGCGGAGCTCCGGAAAGCAAGCGCTCTAAAAAGCGTTGTCGACTCCGGTGGATCGCCGCCTGATAGATCGAATTTTCTCATTGCTGGAGATCGCTGAAGATTTCATCTCATTGCTCCCGAACCAGACTCTGTCCATCAAGCGGTCTGGAACTTTCTTCCTATGAGAATGCAAGGGGTGACTTATGCGAGGGCGAGGGTAGTCCCATTTGGATTCGGGATCGAAACCGATTCCTTTCAAACGAATGCATAGAGTTTCCGAATCGACCCTCTTGCTGCTCGGGTCGGGACTCTCTGAGGAGCTCCTGTCTTGGCTTCGCCGCTGCTCAGCTGCTCCCAACAAGATTCCCGGTTGTGAGGAATTCAGGCGTAAACTCCTACAAGATGTTTTTCCAGACAGATGCGATTGATAAACTCGCGGATAGCTCGCGCGATCCGGCCGAAGTCAGAGGATCGAGCTGCCTGATTCTCGCTGAACCGCGCGTCGCAACCTCTGTGGATCTCCACAGCAAGACGCTTCCTTCCGGAAGAATGATTCCTAAGACTACATTCGGTTCTAAGACTACACATGGACGGAATTATTTCGTACCTCCGTGCATTCATGAGCTCAACGTGGGCTGGATGGAGATTCACGGGTGCCTCTGGGGAACTCTCCTCGAGCGAGCGGAGACTTTCGTTTACGCCGCCAGGTAGTGCCGTGAGTGAGAACGAGCGGATACTAAGTCTGATGCGGCTGCCGGATTGACTTACCGTCCCGTGAGCGATGCGAGTCCCACACTGGACCTTAAGAAGCTCAGCGGGAAGCACTATCCCGCTCGCAGAGAGTCAGTTCCTCAATCGATGTTTTGGTTGGACTTGTCGTCGTAACCATGGAGATGCCGAGCCAAGCAAAATGAGCGACCACTCTGAATGCCCCCTCGCATGCCCCCGGACCACTCACCCTCAACTCGGGGGATAAGCCTTCGCGCACTCAGCTTGACCTCTCCCTGACTATCATTGGTCACATAGCATTCCTTTTGAGCGGAGATCGTCTGATGGGAAATCCTAACTTATGAATTTACCCATGACTCTCCGGACTCTCTCTGGATTAGCTCCGAGCGCGAGAAGCTCCGTCAACACCATCGATTCGGTCCACATAACTCGACCCACAGGCAGAACCCCCATGGACATCGATAGGAGTTGCGTTATGGCTCCTCGTGAACTCACCGACAAGCCCGAAGATCCCAGGATCAAAGTGATTCCTCTCAACTGACCCGAAGAACATCAATCTTTAGTTCCTCGTCAGCATTAAGCGTTACGGGGAAGTTTTCCCTCTGCAGGACTGGACAGAATCGTCTTCGGAAAAATTAATTTTTCTCTCGCGGCTCCACGGGTTCGCACCTAAAAGCATTGCGATGCATACAGATATGCGACCTGCCCCCGGAGCCCGTATTTTCCCAGCAGAGCAAGACTCTCAAACGTATGTCACGAAGGCGGTCTTTAGTTCGCTCCCGATGAGGAACAGGCTCGAAGCTCTCCATGATTTACTCTCTGTTCCGGTTCAGCTCCTCCTTTTTCCGAGACAATAGCTCTGGGACAATCACGTTCAGCGTCTCCTTCGTCAGATGAATCGATCGAATACACCAATGAGGTCGATTGCTCTGTGATTCAGGTTACTATAGAGCTATAGGGAACTAATGAGAGGAAGAGAACTGACTCCTCTCCCGAACGAGGAGCGCTTTCCTTAAGTTCCATATCAGATCCCTGCCAGTGTGGGGCAAATTTCCGCCGTGATTATGATTATGATTTCACCGTAATCATACGCATGCGTATGATTATGACCTTAATCATACGCTTGAGTATGATTATGACCGTAATCATAATCACACGTGTGATTTTGATTATAATCATAGTCATAATCACAGAAATCACCGTAATCACACGCTTTCGTATGATTATAATCATAATCATACGTGTGATTATGATTATAATCATACGCACTCGTGTGATTACGGTCATAATCATACGCATGCGTATGATTACGATAAAATCATAATCATAATCACGGCGAAAATTTGCCCCACACTAGCAGGGATTCCCTGCTAGCACTGATTATTTATCTGTCCTCCGTCACTTCGGGGAGGATCAGCCATCCTGACGTATAAGCCTCCCGTTATGTTCCCTCGCCGATCCCGACCACATAATGCGCGCCCGGATGCTCGAGTAGTGTGAAGAATATTGTCACTTCTTCGGCAGCGAGTTAGTGACCTTTTATGCCTCGAGTGATCGACTTAATTCGATGGGAATTCCGGCGAATAATCCTGCCCGGAATCATTCTAATTTTCCCCGTATATTCCGCTGAATAGATCCGCTTTTTTTAAACATGAAGATCTTCTTGATCTCGCTTGACCGTATCATCTCCCAGTCCCTTGAACGTGGAATGCACTTCTTATGTTCAGCCGCCTCCGGAGGAAGCTCGTGGCGAGATAATTCCCGATCCCCATAGTTTGGGAGAAGCTCGTTCGACTATGATGTCGACGACAATTATATCTGAGCAGCCTGAATTTCCTAGCGTATCGCTTCCTCCTGTAATGCATGAATTTTGAAGACCAGCCGATATGAGTCGACGGCTCGCGTCATTCGCAAAAACCTATTGTTACGATCTCAATCAAGATATCGCGCCAATAATGATATTGTGATCCCTGTTGTTCCAGAGCATGCGCTCTAAATTATTCGACTGCTAGAATAAACAGAAGTCAGTCCGTTTTGTGGTCACGAACCGTCAGCGCACTCAAATGTTCACTCTGACTTCCAGACGTAAAATCAATCATTAAAGCTCACTGGAGTTTAGTGAATTCAAATAACTGGCGACGAGGAGGAGAAGAAGAAACCCGTGTCACTTCGCTCCTACGTTTCGGAAGTCGAAATTCCGCTTTCTGAATTTCTCGCGCACGAAGTGGCTAAGCCTAAGTGAACAGCATGATCAACCGAGAAGGATTCCAGCCATTCCCGGCTTTCGTTCCTGAAACTGAAAAATGGAAATCCTGGACATCGAGGTTAGCTAGCCACCTAATCCTTCAAAAGTGCCAAGACGAAACGGAAAAACGATGCGCTATCATCGCATACATGGGGAGCGCGGCTTACGCGAAGCTGTATGACAAAATCCATCCAGAGAAGAAGCCATGCGACCTCACCTTCGACGAAATCATCAAGCAAGTAAATCAAATCTACGAACCAGAAGAAAATCTCTTCGGATCAAGAATAGCCTTCCGGAAGCTCGTGCAAGCTCAGGGTGAATCGTTGGCAGAGTTCGAGGCGCGTTTGCGCAAGTCATGCACAGATTGTGCGTGGAGGGATGCAGAGCTCCAATTCAATCTCATGGAGCAGTTCATCGCTGGCTTGATCAACAAGCAAATGAAACAGGCTGTCCTCATGAAAAGTGACAAGTTCACAAAGTTTTCAGAGCTTTTCGATTTCGCTATGAGCGTCGAGATGGCTCGTAAAACTGTCTCCGTTTCAGAACCTGTTTCGTCAAGTGGCTATTCGGTGAATTTCGTCAAGGATCGATCGGCGAAGTCACACAAAAGACCTTTCCTCAAACCGAAAGCAAATTTCAGAGGGAAACAGCCTGCTTGTTATCGCTGCGGAGACAAATCGCACCTGGCTCCTGCCTGCAGACACAAGTCAACTACCTGTGCTACCTGTGGGAAGAGTGGTCATATACAACAGGTTTGTCGATCAGGTCAGAAGCACAATTTCATTCAGCTGGAAGAACTACCGTTTCATTTCGTGGAAAGCGACGATCCAATTCGAGTGACCGTGCTCATCAACAATCATCCTGTTCGAATGGAGATCGATTCAGGCAGTGGAATTTCCACAATGCCTCTCCAAGAATTCCAGAGGATACTTCCTGGGTATCAACGTTTCGAGACCGACATATGTTTGAGGACTGCAACCGGTGAATCGTTCACCCCGCACTCATATGCCATGGTTGAAGTCAAGCTCAATAATATTTCCTCCTGCCTACGACTATATCTTTTCGACCAACCTAAATTCCCAACACTGTTTGGCAGGCAATGGCTCCGAAAATTCCCTCTCGATTTCAACAAGCTCATGGCTAAAGATGTTCTCCAACTACAAGCATCTAGCTCGTCGGTCACCGACTGTTACAAAACTCGTGCAAAAGAGCTACTCAAGAAGTATAAGAATCTACTGAAAGACGGTATCGGGTGTATTCCCAACTCTGAGGCAAAACTCGAGTTGACAACAGAAAAACCTCATCCTGTCTACATGCGTGCGCGCCCAGTCGCGCATTCGCTCATTAAGATGACAGACGGGGAATTGGACTATTTGGAAAAGAACGACGTCATTCAGAAAATCGACTGTTCGGACTGGTCTCACCCGATAGTCATAGTTCCGCGTGCTCAGGGCAAGAAAGTCAGGATATGTGGGGATTTCAAAGTGGGAATCAACAAATACATCCGAGTTGATGACCATCCCCTTAAGAATATCCGCCATGCGCTGGATAATATCGGTAATGGACTGCGATTCACCAAGCTCGACATCTCGAGTGCTTTCCTACATTTGCCTGTGCGTGTGTCCGATAGGAAATACCTTGTCGTAAACACCCACCGCGGCCTGTACCAATTTAATCGGATGTCAAACGGCCTGTCGAATGCATCGGCAATATGGCAAAGATTCATCGAGGGAATCCTGGCAGGCATTGACGGTGTCGAATGTGTTATCGATGATATAATTATCACGGCAGCTTCGGACGCTGAACACCTCCGCAGACTCGAGGAAGTTTTCGCGCGGTTGGATCGGCATGACATTCGTCTGAATGCTGACAAATGCGTTTTCTTTGAGGATACGGTGACATACTGTGGATTTCGGCTGAAGCACCAAGAAATCTTCAAATGCGAAGACAAAGTCGAAGCCATCCGAAAAGCACCAACGCCAACGAATGTGTCTGAGGTTAGATCTTTCATCGGCATGATTCAGTTTTATGCGGCATTTGCGCCAAAACTAGCAGATCTGGCACATCCTCTCTACGCTCTCTTGAAAAACGATGTCAAGTTCGTATGGGACGAAACCGCGGATCGAGCATTTCAACAAATCAAATCGGAACTGTGTTCCCCGAACGTTCTCACTCCTTTCGATCCTGATAAGCCATTACTGCTGGCAACAGACGCCAGCCCTTACGGCATTTCTGCGGTCTTGTCGCACAAATTTCCTGACAACTCTGAGCGTCCGATCGCTTACTATTCGAGAAGTCTCACACCGACCGAGAGGAAATACTCTCAAATTGACAAAGAGGCGCTTGGGATACGATGTGGCGTGGAAAAATTTTTCTACTACATTTTCGGGCGAAGATTCAAACTCATAACGGACTCGAAGCCACTCGTCCAAATTTTTTCACCGCACAAAGCACTCCCACCGTTATCGGCATCACGGATGCAACACTACTCAATATACCTGATGAACTTCAATTTCGACATCGTTTACCGATCCACGCACGACCACGGTAATGCAGATGCTCTCTCAAGATTACCCCTCAAAAGCGAACAGCTCCAAGAGATGAACGCGATCGACGTTTTCCTAGTTCGACAATTACAGGATCTCCCGCTCAATCTAGTGGATATTGTCCGCGAAACAAAAAAATCTCTTGAGCTAAAACCCCTACTGGATTTTCTGCATGGATCTGGAAGAAGAAATGAAATGACCAAATTCTTCGGCATCGATCTTATCGAGTTTAGTCTTCTCGATCAATCGGTGATTCTACGAGGTCACAGAATCGTCATTCCAGAATCCTGTCGGAAAAGAGTTCTCTGTGAGCTGCATGAAGGCCATTACGGTATTCTCAAGATGAAGTGTCTCGCCAGGCAGCATGTCTGGTGGCCCAGCCTGGACAAGGACATCGAAGAGCTGGCATCTGGATGCATAGCGTGTCTCACTCACGCACGAAACCCTCCAAAGATGATCCACAACTGGGAACAAACCTCGTACTGTTTCCAGCGAATTCACCTGGACTACGCAGGCCCTATCGGCAACAAATATATCCTGCTCTTGGTTGATGCGCATTCCAAGTGGTTGGAAGCGTTCGTCACAAATGACAAGACCAGTGCAACTACGCTCAAACATCTGAGGGAGACAATTGCTCGTTTTGGTATTCCGTCAATTATGGTAACTGACAATGATCCAACTTTTGTTTCTCATCAGATGAAGACGTTTTGTGCTGCGAATGGCATCACTCACAAAACGAGTCCTGCATTCCACCCGGCCTCAAACGGTCAGGTCGAACGTTACGTGGCGACTACGAAGACAGCTTTAAAGAAACTCTCATCCGAGGGAGGAGACCTGCAGGAGAACCTAACCAGATTCCTCTATAGACAACACATGGTCATCAGTTCTACTGGGGGATCACCGTCGTCACTCATGCTCGGTCGAGAGCTACGCTCGAGGTTGGACCTCCTTCGAGAAAAACCTCACGCTGTATCAGCCGAAGTCTACGACGACAAGAACGCCAAGTTCAAGCCTGCTGAGCTCGTCATGGTCAAAGACTTCAGAGGTCGGAAACCCACATGGATACCTGGAAAAGTTGAACGTCTTCTAGGCAAAACCATGTGCTCAGTGAGAGTGCCAAATGGCACTTGGAGAAGACATTTCAATCAGTTACGAAAGTGCTCGCAGAGTTTGGAAGTTGCTTCGGGTGGAGG